TCTGGGAGGAAGATGTACTCAAGGTGATACACTGATAACAAGTACGTAACATATATATGACTTGAGCAGTCTGCTATTTGACCCTTATATCATAAAAAATATACTTCTATGCCAAATTTCATCCAGATTCGTTTAAGCGTTTTGAGTAATAAACATCCATCAAAAACGTAACACACATAATAGTACTAGGATTAAATAAAAAGCCTAACATCCTATTACAATAATTACTAAATAATAACGATCATTTTAATTGAATACTTCTTAATCCACCTCGTCTCTATGAATAATAAACGTTTTTGTTATTCCGTGATTTAATTATAAAAATATGCTATTATTCGTTTATTATTAGTTTCGCGGTCATTTAGAGGCTAAGGTCAAATAGGCCTCGAAGAAGCTCGGTGTGCTGAACAGATCGAGGCAGTATTTCACTCCAGCCAACGTCTCCAACTCTATAAGACGCAAGTCTGGCCGCATATGGAGGACTGTTCTCATCTCAGTACCAGCTTCGAATTGTCCAAAGCCAAAAGATCTCCGACCGACTCGATCCCTTAGCGTAACGTAGAGATGTAGCTTCGCTTTGCATTCTCTATCGTATTTATCATGGAGAGTGCTCCGAGGAATTGTTTGGACTAATACCGGCCGCAACTTTGCGCCATCGTTCCACACGGCAAAATTTTTGTCCCCACCACTTGGATAATTGGCACTACTCAAAGGCTGTACGGACGCATGGCTCTCCTTCTTGTTAAAACAATATCAATCTTCAGTCTTACAGAAGTTTTAGAAATAAAACAACGAGTAAGCTTCAAAATTAAAAACAGACTTAACCAAATGTGCTCGTTCGTTACCTTAAATAAATAATTAGACATGTTGTAATCCACTTTATCCTCTCCAGATTCTTAACTTAAACATTTTGATTAATATAATAAAATGAATTATAAGATTCAAGACTGGAGCCCGATGAATAATTCAGGGATGCAATTAATACCCTGAATCTTAATAGATCAACGGATGCTGGAAAACAAAAACAGTCGTAACTTTTTATTCGAGTTTTATCTGATCTGTTCTTGTGATGTAAGGTTAGGTAGGTAAGGTAAATAATCTCAAAAGCCTCACTTGTTCAACTCCTCAGAGTTGGACAAGTGAGGCTTTTGAGATTATTTTATTAGAGGGATTGACCGTAATTACCGTCTCCAATATTCTGGTATGATATGATAGGGTTGAACAGATACTTTAATAAGTCAATATTAATACCCGAAAATGAGACTGTACTTGAAGTAATCTAGATTAGCAGTAGGTTCGTGTGGTGACGGATTAAGAATACAGAGTGTCACCACCCCTATTCATCCCGTGGGTGTCGTAACAGCCGACTAAGGGAGCAAAGTACGCAGGACAACAGCACTGCAGAGAGAAGGAAAACTTGACACAAACCCTATACCAACCCGTCTGGCCAGCGTGGTGTAGTAGGCCAAAACCTCCTTTCTAAGGAGAGGCCTATGTGGAGCAGTGGACTAGTAAAGGCTGTTGATGAGACAACACTGAACAGAAGAATTCAGTTGGGTTGGGCAGCGTTTGGGAAGCTTCGTCATCGTCGTCTTCTCATCGTCGATCCCACAGTTCCTTAAGACGAAAGTTTTCAATGAGTGCGTCCTACCCGTCATGACTTACGGTGCCGAAACGTGAAAACTTACGGTAGTACGGCTGGTCCACAAGTTCAAAATCTATGCTCTGCGTGGAACAGAATGGACAGGGCTATACTCGGCGTTTCTAAGGAATCGCATCAGGAATGAGGTGATCCGGAAGAGAACCAAGGTCACCGACATAGCCTACTGGATCAGCAAGCTGAAGTGGCAGTGGGCTGGCCATATTAGCCGCAGAACCGACAACCGTTGGGGAAAACGAGTTCTTGCTTGAGTGGTGACCGCATCTCGGCAAACGTAGTGTAGGACGCCCACAGGCCAGGTGGAGTCACGATTTGCTCAAGATGGCTGGCAGGAGCTGGATGCGAGAAGCCCAAAATCGATGAAAATCAACGCAGGACTCCAGCACTGCAAAGAGAAGGAAAACTTGACACAAACCTTATACCAACCCGTCTGGCCAGCATGGTATAGTAGGCCAAAACCTCCTTTCTAAGGAGAGGCCTATGTCCAGCACTGGACTATTATGGGTTGTTGATGAGACTAACAATCTGTAAGAGATTGAGGTTAATCTGCTACTACAGATTAACATCGATTTTGTACAAATTGTTTTAATTTGGTAGAATAATTGTTGGTCCTAGTGAGTTACCAGTCGTCAGTGTTCGTAACAGAGTGTGTGTCTCTGTGTCCAAATACTGTTGACTGCACGGATGGCGTAGTGGTTTAAGCGGTCGCCACGACGCTTCCTATTACGCCGAGTGTTGTGGGTTCAAACCCCACATGGGACAACACTTTGTGTGATCCACAAATTGTTGTTCTGAGTCTGGGTGTACTTTGTGTCCGTTTCATGTATGTTTGTAAAGTCCTCCGCGACACAGGATTTATTCCTAGTGCGGGAGTTGTCTTTTAAAAAAAAAACAAAAGTAAAAAAAAAACAAAAATAAAACTGTTGGGTTGTACTTGATTTTTATTTTCATACATGCAAAACAATATTGAGTTTAAATACGTTATTGTTTTTCTCAACATTGATCAAAATCACTAGCGACTCTGCTAAAGGACGTCCAATACTGAACATGGGCACCCTTAAGGCTCACCACAATAACCGGTCCTGTGCTTTCCGCATCAATATTAATACAGAACATCTTGATACTGGAATGTAATTGTTTCTACATTTTTAAGAAAATTTTCACACCGCAGAAAATTTGAATCTGCAATATCTAATATTTAAGAATTGTAACGTAATTACAATACACACTACACGTCCTACACTACGTTATTGTATTTAACGTAGTGTAGGACGCCCACAGGCCAGGTGGAGTGACGATTTGCCCAAGATGGCTGGCAGGAGCTGGATGCAAGAAACCCAAAATCGATCTAAGTGGCGTGCAATGGGAGAGGCCTATGTCCAGCAGTGGACTGCGATAGGCTGATGATGATGATGATGAAGAATTGGAAACGTTTAGAAAATTTAATCATTTAATATGGGTGATAAATCTATTAATTTACCAAAGGAAATGGTTAGATAAACGAAATCGGTATTTTACGATAATATGTTTTCTTAATTTAGTTTTTTTAAATAACCAGTATTACTTGAACTAACATTGCTTAGACGTCGTATATATCTCAGGTTCAAGAGGTAATGTTATACCCGCCTATAGTTACTAATAATAAATTGACCTCTAGAAAAACGTAAAAAGTTAATTACACGTTATTTATCAATGCTAGTTACTATGGCCTGTACCTGTTGCCAATTAATTGAAAGGTTTCCTTTCATTTACTTCATTTAATTAATTATCTTAGTACGGATGTGAAACAAATGTGTCTGTAGATACTCCACCGCTATTTTATTTCAGTGGCGGGCGGTATAACAAGCCAGGCAAATATTTTTCTTGTTAAATTGTTTTATAATATAAACAACTAGTATTTTTTAACTTTTTTTTCTTTTATTATCATCGTATTTTATTTAAAAGTAAATGAAAATGTCTATTATTCTCTGGACGTTTATTTATTTATGGTACAAAAAGATAACAGACTTCGGGCTTCGAATACTATGATTGTTATTTTGATCAATATCAAAAAACTTAATTTTCGTTAGAATGGCTTCAAGGAACTTGAAACTTCGACGTCCTTTTTTTTCATAGCCAATATAACAACAGGCACTGATAATAAAAATTAAAACCCACCAATTTCCTAAGAAATTAGGACAATAATGTAATCAGTGGGTCTCAAACGACTTTTCCATTACCTAAATCTACTTTTTACATCAATAACGAGGGTATGAAAATATAGTGGTAGTGATCTTAGAAAATTATTAAAATATCTCAGCCATGCGTGTAATTAACAGCTTCCCTATTAATTTAGACAACTTTAAAAGAAGTTACCCCCAAGTTTATCGATCGCTTCGATTACTTTTTAAACAAAAACCTGTACAGGTAAATTTGCTAGGAGAAATTTTTGCGTTTGTAGTAGTGTAGTGTAAGCGGACAGCGTAAACTGCTTTATTCTGGTTTTGTGCGTGATTCAACTTTCCACTATCAAGTGACGATTTTTTGCTTTAGATTGAAATATCTCGGAAACGGTGCGTCATAGGCCAAAAATAACAAAAAATTTGACCCCCCCGTAGACCCCCCGGAGTTTTAAAAACCTAGATGAAAGGAAAAAAAAAAATATTTAAATATCGGTCTCTCCTCTTTGAAGTTTCACTTCTATCGTGTGTGAATCGCACACACACCTTTTTTTTTATAAAGTCAAAACCTTTTTCTTTAAAATAAAAACTTGTTTTTATTGAAAACAAAAATCAGAGTGTTGCTAGGGATAAGTATAAAATTAAATAGTAATGTTAGGATATCGAAACATTTTTGTATAGGCCAGAACGATATAGTGGATACGCGCTCTAAGATCTGAGTTATATACACACCACTACATATGTAAAAATTTCTCGAGACTAATTTCACTGTATCATTTATTAATAACTTTTACAAAATGTTTGAGCCAACCTTAGTCCGCCTAAAATGTTATTAAAAGTATTTAATTTTATGCAATCAGCGGTATTCTTCTTCTCTTAATTTTTTAGCGTAACACAGGCCAGGTGGAGTGACGATTTGCGCAAGATGGCTGGCAAGAGCTGGATGCGAGAAGCCGAAAATCGATTAAGTGGCGTGCAATGGGAGAGGCCTATGTCCAGCAGTGGACTGCGATAGGCTGATGATGATGATGATAATGATGTGGAATAACTTCTTCAAACTTTAATGGGACTAACATATACAAATATTCTTAAATGCAATCCACTCTCAAGTGGCGAAGATATAGACATTATCAAAATAAAAATCTGTTTTGGAAGTTGGTTGAAAATTAAATATGTTTTACCTCCAAAGCATTCGCATATCAGTTCCAAAGTGTCTCCTTCATTGTAGGGCTCCAATAGGCGTGTGTGACTTCGAGTCTTGGCGTCCATTATGGTAGGTCTGTTTGGTGGTGCTGGGAACAAAAATACAGTTTAATGCACAGAACTCATATAAAGCCATACTTTTATTATAAATGTAAAAGTTAGTTTGTTTGACTGACTTGAACTTAATCGACTTTTAAAAATTCTTGTACCAAGTAACATAGGCTATTTTTACCGCTATAACCAACATATACGCGGGTGGAGCCGTGGGCAAAAACTGATATGTTATATTTAAAATATAAAATCATAGTAATTCTTAATAATTGTACCTTAACAATATTTCTGTAATTAAAACAAAATCCTGCGGTAACTTGATAATAGTACAGGCCATAGAGTAAAAACGCCCAGAGGGTTTGTCATTAAACGGGGATTAATTAATTTTCCTTGGGAGAGCCGAACAAATCGGCTGGCTGGGCCGGAGTGATACCAAGGCTTCACAAAAAACCGGTGCTAAGTAATTATTTGATGTCCTTTCTCCGAGTGAATGAGGTTATCGGAGCCCAAACCTCCTCTTCGCCTGAATCTAGGTTAGGGGGCTCAAAAGGCACCAACCGTTGATTACATATGCGGCCGGACTTGCAAGGACTTTTTGGAGGCGATGAGCTGGAGTGAAATACTGCCTCAATCTGGTCAGCACACCAAGCTTCTTCGAGGCCAATTTGACCTTACCCTCTAAATGAGCGCAAAATTGAACTTCGCTCGATATGTCGAAGCCTAGTATTCCGATACTGGTTGAGGCAGTTAGGGAGGTGGTTTCGAAGCGAGGCGATATGACAATCAGTATCTTTTTTGCGATGAACGCGCAAACCTATGTATTTTTTGGGTTAAAATGGACTAGATACAGTCGACCCCAATCAAAGTTAAACCTCCGTTAAAAAAGTTTTGATTTCAGACACGAGTTGGTTTCGACGCGAGGTAAATGAGAAGATCAAAAAGCTGAGCAAACCATAGTGTAGGTCATTGAGTAGCTGGTGATTTTCTAAGTACCGGAGAAGCTGGCAGTTGATTACGGTTTCGATAACCTTGAGAACAAGGGGGTTATGGCTATAGTCCTGTAGTTGGACGGAGCAGATCACTTTTTGAGTATTCCCCTCCCTGTTCCGAATAAGTGTAATTATATCAATCTACAGTGATTACAGTCATTACTTTTTCTTGAAAACAAATATTTAAACCTAAACATAGAATTAAATAATTTAGTCTGGGTTTATACCACATAAACCGTTAAAGATATTATTATGCCTAGCGTGTTTAATCTGTAGACCGACTCAAGTAGCGTGTTCAAGTTAAAGTGTTATTCATTTTAAAAATTGTTCAATTTCAGAATGAGAAATTTGTTTAAGAGTTTCCAAGGTTATAAAGTCTGTTGTTTGGAAAATAATTGGCATGCAATTATATTGAGAGCATTATTTAAACGATTTCTGAATAATCGCTCAGTATTACTTTGAAATTTAATTACAGTGATGACCGACCTAATGTCTCCGTGATGGGGTAGAGGGCATCCATAGTAATCTTCCATCGTGTTTGGTCTTAAACTTCAACCTTGACCTCACTCCACGTCTTGCCGATTCTCTTCACCTCATCTGCGACAGCGAGTTGCCAGGTTTGCTTTGTGCAGCCATGTTGATGTTCTTCTTTACGGATTTATATACAGCGCCTGCTCAGCGATATGATCGGGGTCCCTACGCAGAGTGTGACCTATCCAGTTTCACTTGCGGCGTTTGATATGAAGGTTGATCGGAGATTCATGGCGGCGTTCCAACTATTCTTCATTGGAAATCTTCTCGGGCCGTATACTCCAAGGATTCGGCGAAGGCTCCAATTAACAGCAAAAAAGGAAGTTGTGTGAAAGGGTCCGGGCCTTAGCAATGCTTGAAGTTATGTTCTCCTCGGCACCTCCTCTCCCCATTTCCGATCCGTCGCCGACGTTTCCGGGGTAGGTGAAATTGTGGAAGCGCAATCACAGTGATAACTTGAACATTTTTATTCAATTTTGAGTACTTAGATATTTTTGTACCAAAAAATTTGAAAAGATATTATATATCATGGAGAGTACTCCAAGGAATTGTTCGGACTAAAACCAGACGCAACTTTCCGCCATCGTTCCACACGGCAAAATTTTCAAGTTTACAAGTTATTCTCTGCGGTATTTCCGGACCGATACGACCTTCAAAAAAAGAGCGTAATCCTTCCTCAAAGGCGGGCCACGCCCTTGTGACTCCTGAGTTGTAGGCGTTCATGGGCGGCGGTAGTCGCTTTCCAGGTGAGTATTCGGTTTTTTATGCTCACACGGTTATTTGCACGATACGTTTTTTTGTCTTTCTGTCTGTTTGTTCCGGGTATTCTTCTAAACGGCTGGACCGATTTTGATAATATTTTACTGCCAGGTACCTGTTTATGTAAAGAGTAATTTAGGTAATTTTTCCCAGAAAAACTCTAAAAAAATTTTACCCGGTCCGGGAATCAAACCAACTAAGGCAGCGCTTTTCAAATTCCACGCAAACGAAACCGCGAGTACCAGCTAGTTATATACATAATTGGCTTTAGGTTTTTTAAATACACCCACTTTTTGGTTAAAAAAAAAGAAAAACGTACAAGTTTAATCGGATTAGTATTGTACTTTTATCCAACTGCCAAGGTAGGGTTATGTTTTTCGCGCGTATCTTGTATGTTTCTTTGTAAATTTCTTTATTACCTCATCATCATCATCTTCAGTCTATTGCAGTCCAGTGCTGGACATAGGCCTCTCCCATTGCACGCCACTTAGAACGATTTTGGGCTTCTCGCATCTATCCATTTTGGCTTTTTATTACCTTGTATCTTCTAAATGGCTGGATGAATTTCGTTAATTAAGGGATATTTTATCTGTCTCAAAAACCCAAGTGTTTTTGTAAGAAAAAACAAAATGGCGTATTTTTGCACAAAATAGTAAAAGTAGTAAACATTTTTTAATTATATACTTATAAATATATTTCTCATTACAAAACGATAAATTCAAACCCAGTCAGTATCAAATTAATTGAAACCATATTAATTTGACTCAAAGGGCCCAGAATATTTGAAATTGGTTTTATTTTGGTCACGTGCCATCGATTTTACGATTCATTGAAGCTCTACTGACTTGAAAATAATAATGAAAATAGTTAACATTAAAATAAAAAAGGCTAATAACTGTGTCATGCAAATTGAGATCGATTGCAAAAGAGTGGCCATGAGTTTGTTTGCCCTTTCTTCCCATAAGGCTCAACCCCTTGGAACCGGGCGGTTGTAGATCGGCACATGCATATATTATCATAGATTTTGTATGGGTTTGATTTTGTTAAATTTATTTGCTTACTATTTGACAAAACAGAGATTGTTTCTTTTGTGTGTGTTGATATATGACTTTAGAGTCTACATAAAAGACGATTTCAAACAATCAAAAAAAAAAGTGAAATAAAAAGAGTTTGAGTTTGATACTCTGTATTCACTTAAATGGACAGAATTTGTTTAGGACTCCGATCTCCTAAACGCTGATTATATGATTTTACAAAAAGTTACTCAACCGTCAGGATTAAATTAAGAAACTTTATTTATATAAAGGATCACGTCAATGTTATGAAACACTAAAAAAGACATTTAATTTTCAGTTCAAGTTCAGCTCAGAATCTTCAAAAATTTATATAAATTACAAAATATTGAAATGTCATATTCAGTATTCACAGAGAAAATGGAATGAATTTAATTTTGATAATATAAAAACACTTAGTCGTCGATTGAACCTTCAAAACTAACATTGTAATTCGTCGCTTTTTCTTTCTAATAGTTTTGAAACTACGTAAAATGTTTAAGGAAAACTTCCACCCGATGTAAGTTAACAAGTTGTTGTGACATGTTGAAAAGTTATAAATGAACAGACAAGGTTCTGTACTTTGTAAAAGTAGATTTATAAGTTGTGAGTAACTTGAAAGTTAAATGTAAATCTATTATTAGGCTGGGGGTAAAATTGCTTAATACGGAACGACAGTCTTGGGTGAATCTGTGAATTTTTTAGACTCTTGTATTGTAAAGAAAGATAAGCTATAAACACGAGTAATTCGAAGAGAGAAGAGAGAGAATAAACGAGATAGAAAACCTAATGACGTAGGTAAATGTCATCATTATCGACGACTGGATGGTGTAGTGGTTTGTGTAACGGACTGCTATTCCAAAGGTCGCGGGTTCGAATCCCGCTCAGGTCAAACATTTGTGTGCATGAACATTTGATGTTTGATTTGGTCTGGGTGTTTCTATGTATAATATGTATGTATTTACAAAAAAAAAAGTATATATGTATTTATATCAGTTGTCTAGTACCCATAGTACAAGCTCTGCTTAGTTTGGGACTAGATGGCGTTGTGTGTATGTGGTAGAATATATTATATTATATATTATATTATATTATCATCAACAGCCTTTCGTAGTCCACTGTCTGGACATAGGTCTCTTCTTAGAAAGGAAGTTTTGGTCTACTATACCATGCTGACCAGACGGGTCGGTATAGGGTTTGTTTCTCTTTCCAGTGTTGTTGTCCTGCTTACTTTGCTCCCTTAGTCGCCTCTTACGACACCCACGGGGCGAATAAGGGTGGTGACACTCTATGTTCTTAATCCTTCACAACTCGGATAAGAAAAGTATAAGAAGTTCTCTGTAGTGTTACTTTTTTGCATTTAGTAGTATACATTTAGTAACATTTTGAGTATTGTGAATTGTGAGCTTACAGGCATCAGTAACGAGTTTAATGAAACAGGCTGAGTACCTACTTATTAATTCAGAAACGTATATACTAAAAGTTATGGGAGAGATGATTCTTAAAGAGGTGATTATTATTATTTGACGGGCCTGTTGGTATAGTGGTTAGTGACCCTGACTGCTAAGAAGGAGGTCGTGGGTTCGACAGGACAAATAATTGTGTAATGAGCACGATGATTTGTCCTATGTCTGGCTGTAATTCATCTATGATATGTATGTATTTAGAAATATATAACTATGTT